GCCAGATGCACTAGATAGGAAACATGACAAGATGAACGAATTCTACTTTATTGTAAGACTATAGTAACAGTATCTTACAAGTCTAAAAGTATACTCTTCCCACCACCACTTTTAACTATTTTCCCACACCCCATTACGATTGGTCCTTCCTAAGTTTCTTTAGCCCATGGGGGGTTCCTGCTTCTCTTATCTGATTGTTTTCTAAGCAGCAACTCTTCCCCTTGTTCCTCAAAGTCACATACACATTCTGTTACTCTATGTGTTCAAGATGATGTCCTTATTGGCTTAATTCTTTAGCTTAATTTGTAAGTTTCACATAAGCAATTTGTGATCTATTCCATAGTCAGCACCTGGCCATGTCCAAGTGAGGTCCTCCAGCTCTGTTTAGCAATTATACAGTCAATACAATTTCTATATACTCCATTTGATGACATCCATTTATAGTTTTGATTGTTTGAAAATAATATTAGTTACAAAATCATTGGAATAGCATAAATTGATAAATTGTTCACTGGTCATTTACCATTAGCCAGTTTTATTTTAATTTCTGTTTTGTGTAGAACTTGATGTATGTGTTTGGCATGGAAGGGAGATCTATAGTGCATGAAATGTTGGGGCCATAGAAGAGGTGAAATAAAGACACAGGCAAAAAATAATTAGACAGTAATCACTATCTAATTTTTGTTTGTTTTACCATTGTTTGTATCATCTTCTGAATTAACAATGAATATGATGATTACAGAGTGACTGTCAGGGTTCCAAATAACACCCCCAACCAATGAAGACTCAAAGGCCAGCCGTTCCTCAAAGTTCCATTTTATTAGAAATGTCATACTGGCACATCTGGGAAAACCTGAATATGAAAACTCCTGGGTTTTCCCCACCCAAAGGAAAGTTGAAGTCTTCCCGTGCACCCACATGTCCATCTCATGGTCCAATCAATTCACTGTCCCAACTGGAGATGCATCCCAGTCACGCCACTCAAGGTGCAGCCTGAACATCTTTGACTCTCAGATAAAAGAATGTTGTTATGCCTAAATACTTCTACCAGCTTCATGCAAACCCCTCTTCCCACAGACGAAGTGTGGCAGCCCTGAAGATCCAAAAGAAAAGATGGTCTCCAGGGCTGACATTCACGTATTTAAGCTCAAATCTGCACCAGTTACAGAGCAAGGTATGAACCACTGACTTGGAATTCCTTTGCCCCACTCTTTTCTATCACAAACTTTTCCCCACCATTTGGGAGGGGAGGAATAAAAGGAAGTAGTTAAGGCAAGAACCCATATGTTGCAGGCATATGTTTTTCTCTGAACACAATGGAATGTTACATCCACTTGAAAAGCACAGGTTATACTGTGTGTCTGCAAATATGTAGGTCAGATTTTAAGACTCACTTTGAATTATATTTTATAGATAGTATAGGAGAAAAATTAGAAATGAAAATAAAGATTACAATTGTAATTATGAGTTGCAAAGCCTGAGAAACATTATGAAGTTGTATGTTTATGGAGATTCTCAGTCAATCAGGTCATGGTTATCCCAAAGCTGCTTTTTCAAGAGGCAATTGGACTTTCTTGTTTTTCTTTGAAAATGTTTCACATCATCCAAAAAACTTCAGGAGGATCTTCAGCCAACACAACATACATGCACACTTTAAATCCAAAAATACACTAAGGCAGAAGCTTGTCCACCTCCAGGATAAAACACCTGGACACAAACTGAACAACGTGGTATATGCAATACAATGCAGTGAGACAAGTGCAGATCTATACATTGGAGAAACAAAACAACCACTTCATAAACACATGGCATAACATAGGAGAACAAACCCATCAGGACAATATTTAGCAGTCCATCTGCATTTCAAAGACAAATGTCACTCTTTTGAAGACAGCAAAGTCCACATTTTGGACACAGAGGACAGCTGGTTTGAAAGTGGGGTCAAAGAGGCATCTACAGTATCAAAACTGAACAGCCTTCTCTCAACAGAGGGATATCACATCATCAATCTCCAGTTTATAATATAGTCCTTTCAACAGTTCCAAGAAGGCTCCACACTCATTTGCATACTCTAGTGACCCTGAGGATACAGATAAATCTCCAAGTGGCCTTAATGACTCACTAAAGAATGAAATGACCAGCTATTTGCAAAAAATATAAATCCTTCCATTCCCCACCATCCAGTCAGAGCTAAAGAAGCTTCTTGGATGAGAAGCGAAACATCTTCGAAGAAAAACAGGGAAGTCCAGTTGCCTCTTGAAAAAGCACCTTTGGGATTACGAGGTTGGAGGTTGTAAAATTGCTATGATTATCGACTGCCCTGAAATATAATAATTAATACTTTTATTATAACTCAGGATCCTTAGTCTAGTTCTCTGAATCCCAAGACAGCCATTCAAGTAAAGTTTTCCAGCGATATGATAATCTAACCCAGTGTTTCTCAACCTGGCCAACTTGAAGATGTGTGAACTTCAACTCCCAGAATTCCCCAACCAGCTATGCTGGCTGAGGAATTCTAGGAGTTGAAGTCCACACACCTTTGCCTAGGTTGAGAAACACTGATCTAACCTGTCTCATAAGGAGTAAGGAGCTACATCTTCCTCTACCAGGCTGTGTTGATAACAGGTGAGAGAAAGAGAAAAAGAGGACAATCCAATAATTGTCTCTTTCCATTACCATCACAGGATGCAAGATCCCTCTTATTTCCTCAGTCACCTCAAGCATTGTTTTCATATGAGAAGAGGGGGGAGACAGTGATGCTGCTGATACTGATGATTGAGATGACAGCTGACGTCAGAGCAGCAGAAGAGGAAGAGAAGGTGTTGTAACAGCTGTGATGGTGGTGGCTCCTCCAGCATAATATAGTATTTCCACTCTCATTTGTCTGCTATGTTCCTTTTGTGGCCTTAATTTATTTTTTTAAGACTGAAACCATGACAAACCATGGAATATTTGCAACAAGACTGATCCTGGGATTCCTTGTACCTGAATGCCCCAAGAGAATTATCTCTACTGTTGATGCTATCCTGTAAGTCCAGGATAAGGTTTATTTTTGAATTGATCTAGTTTTACCAGCTTCCTTATTCTAAGGTAGCTAACATAGGTTTCTTTGCCACATCATTCAGAAAAACCGACACTGTGAATTCGGCACTCTTACAGGGATCACTTACATTGATCCCTCCTTGGGTACAATATATGGGGTTGTTAAGAATGTGGTCACCAAGAGAATGTGGTTATTAAGAGTCAACATTAACTTGATGGCAGTAATCAATAAATAAAACAGATGTCACATTCAAAGACAAAATTGTCTTTAGCATTTTAGTTTCCATTTGTTTTTTCTTTCCTGTGGTCTGAGTACGTCTTCTCCATTCTTGCTTTAAATAAGAAAGATAACCCTTGAGGTTCTGTAGTCAAGGTTTAATATTTATAGACCATACATGGCATTTATTTGCTAACCTAATGTAACTTGCAATGTTTAATATATGGTTTTATTTTCAGAACAGTTAACAATTGAGAGGGAAACAGAGGTTGATATCATAGTGCTATAACATCACATGTACATATAGAAATGTATAATTTAACAATGAGATTTTATTGGCAGGATTACTAGCAAGTTATTTTCCCCCAGAGTTATCCACAACTCTAAATATAGCACTCACAAAGAAATTATTACTATGAAGGTAAATCTGGAAAAAAAATTAGGCCAGGGTGTGGAGGTGAGATAGTGAGAAAGGTTACTCTTTTCTCCTTCACAACATTGTGCATATGCATGGTCAATGAACAGATACCAATGTTTATATTTATTTCACTTATTATTTTAAAAGTTACTATGAATTATTTATTCAGTGGATATGTATAGCATGAAGAATTAGAAAAGAACTAACATATTTCTCTTTCACTGTTAGTTTAATGATTTTGTATAGCAAACCTAAATCCTGAAATTTCAAAATTGAAACAGAAATCATTAGAAAAGGATGGATTTTATGCATGACAAATAAGCATGATTTCTAAGTGCGAGTATATAAAGAGTGACAAAAACAGTCAGTCAGTCAGACAAGGAGGGTTAATTTGCCATAATGGCAGAGTGAATTATTTTTATCATGCTTTAGCATGTTGTAAGTATTGGATTTGTTTTAATTATTAAGAAATAAAAACTTTAGACTAGTACTGAATGTTCTCCTGAGAATTTGGCATCACTTATAGGATCCACTTACAATTGCCTGGCCAAATTGGTACCAGAGAAATACAAGAAGAATTAATCTTGAAAATTTACATCTGATTAAAGAGTCTAAGCAAATGGGAGTTTCTTGAGCAAGCTGCAATGATATCCTGACTCACCATATCAAAGATCCATATATAAATTAATATATACTGTATTTTACTGTAGCAAAAGAAGAACCTGGTATAGGAAATAATTCTGATTCCTGAGAATACTTTATTTTTATTTAATAAATTGCATGTTTTAGTTATTATAGATGCACATGAAAGTGAAAAGTCATAATGGAATGAAGAATCCCACATTCTACAAAAAAAATTATTTCCATTTCCTTATAGCCATGTACTCTACAAGGATATACAATCATTCTATTTACTCTCAATTGCTCTGATGCCCTTATTCTTAGTCTTTTCAAAGATAATCCTGATATAGTAGCCTACATAACCAGCTCTCAGTTTCACCTGTGACATTTCTCAGTAGTAATTTGTTCAAGATGATATCTGCCAGAATCATCCATCATCTACTAACCTATATAAAATTTGTATCTGCCACAGTGGCTATAGGGAAAAGAAGAATTACATATTTAAAGTGTGGATAACAATATTTCTTGCTTCCATTTACTGTTGTTACAAAAACATTTTTGGCATTTTAGCTTTCCAAGCACATTTCTTTTTAACCAGCCCTACATAACAATAACACAGTGTAATAATCGGTCTTCCAATTTTATATTGGATTCTGGTAAAGGCAATGATTTAAAATAAAATAAGAAAAAGACAACTACTACCTGACAAGGTCAATGACTCTCTCCCTTGGGGCAGTGTTTACTGGCTCATCATTAATCATTATGATTTGGTCTCCTGGTATAAGTTTTCCTTCCGAAGGACCACCTGGAAATACAGGCACAGATTATATTTTATTGTATTCCCTCCCTTGGGTTTGTTAGCTGCCCTGAGTCCCTCTGGGGAATAGGGCGGCATATAAATGTAATAAACCTATAACCTAAACCTAAACCTATTTGTTATGCACATGCTGTAATGCTGAAAATGCTACGGATATTTTCCCATACTGACACATGAATGTGAAATGCATTTTTCTGCAATATCAAATTAAAAATCAAATTGAACCAACATTGGCTGTGGCTTTAGTGTGGTTTTGCTCTTCAGTCTTTAGAATCATTCATTGGAATATGTGGATAAGTGGTCAGAGGCCCTCAATTAAATAAAGCAAGAAAAAACTAGTTGGAGTCCAGCAAACTCTTTGTGGAAAGGTTCTGGAAGAAGTCATTTGCTTGTTTGCGTTCTACTTCACTATTAGTACTATAGCTTAAGTACAGGTATGACACAAACCATAGAATTTTGACTACAGAGGCTGTCTTGTGTTGCCTCTTTTGTATAGCAAAATAATATAGACTAATGAATGTCAACCTTCTATAGTACAATGTCTTCTAAATGTATTTGGTTAGAATTTCCAGGCACTGTTGTCATAGGCTTCAGGGATTTTTGGGAGTTCTAGTCACAACACATCTAGAAAATACAAAGCTGGAACACACTAACTAATGGAACTCTATCAGCAGAAAAGCTGTGATAAAGGAACCAATATAACAATTAGATTAATGTTAGCCAAACACAGAAATCATACCTGGTGTTACTGAGCGCACAACAACAGGTTTTTCACTGCCAGCCACAAAACCAAATCCCAAAATTGGGTCTCTTTTCATTTCTATTTTCCGAGGTGCTGGAGGTATAATTTGGCAGCTGTCTATTCGAGGATCATCAAAAGGAGCAGTCTGAATCATGTGACTAAGAGAAAAGAAGACAGGCATTTTTAAATCTAGGTAAAGCTACAAACCCAGGTTTCTAGTTGAATTTGAAAAGTATATCAATACTATTTAAACAGTAAGAATGTATTTTTATATAAAACTATAGTCCTCAACATACTTAGTATGATAAACGAAATAAATTTGGTAATTTGAGTAAACATAGATACAGGAAGTTCTCAACTTACCATCATTCATTTAGTGATTATTCAGAGTTACAGCAGCAACTGAAAAAAGCGATTTGTGATCATTTTTCGCACTTATGACTACTGCAACATTCCTATGATTAATGTGATGAAAAATTGGATGCTTGACAACTGGCATGTATTTATGATGTTTGCAGTGTCCCAGGGTCATGTTTTGTGAACTTCTGACAAGCAAAGTCAATGGGGAAGCTATATTCACTTAACCATGTTTCTAACTAAACAACTGCAATGATTAATTTAACAACTATGGCAAGAAAAGTTGTAAAATGAGGCAAAACTCACAACAGCGATGGAAATTTTGGGATCAATTGTCATAGGTTGAGGACCACTTGTATGCAGTTGCAAATACACTAAGACACATTTACAGGTAATCGTTGAGTTACGACCACAACTGAGCCTTAAAATTTATGTTGCTAAGTGAAACATTTGTTAATTTTAGGAGTTTTCCTACCACAGCTGTTAAATGAATCATTGCATTCGTTAAGTTAATAACATGATTGTTAAGTGAATCTGGCTTCCCCATTGTCTTGTTTGTCAGAAGGTTGCAAAAGATGATCACATGACTATGAGACAGTACAACAATCATAAATATGAGTCATTTGTCCATGAGCCAAGGTGGCGCAGTGGTTAAATGCAGCACTGCAGGCTACTGCTAGATCAGCAGTTCAGCGGTTCAAATCTCACCGGCTCAGGGTTGACTCAGCCTTCCATCCTTCCGAGGTGGGTAAAATGAGGACCCAGATTGTTGGGGGCAATATGCTGACTCTCTGTAAACCGCTTAGAGAGGGCTGAAAGCCCTATGAAGCGGTATATAAGTCTACTGCTACTGCTATTTGTCAAGCACCTGAATTTTGATCATGTGACCATTGGGATGCTGTAACAGTCATGTGAAAAATGGTCACAAGTCACTTTTTTCAGTGCTATTGTAACTTTGAACAGTTACTAAATTAACTGTTGTAAGTTGAGGACTACCAGTATTTCATTAGAATTGGTACAAAAGAACTTCATAAAGGATCAAACTCAAAATTCTATAGATTTTTAAAAGGATTAATCAGTGTTTGTAAGAAAGACAATAGTTTAGATATAGTGGACAAGTATTCTGTCTTTTTGAATTAGGTTTTGCAACATACATGTATAAATATGAGTGTATAATAAATATAAAAAAGAATCTTCAAGAAGGGAGAAATATAAAGTCATACCTGTATAAAGCACTAGATATATTTTATAAAATACTTAGGTCTTTTTACTAAAGCAGCATGAAATTAGTGAGTTAAATTCATCGTACAATCTGGTATTCATGTTATACTGTATAGAAAGGCCAATTCAATGTGCTTCCAAGACATGGTTGTATGGTTGGTGTTATAAAGTTATTCTGTAATTAAAGGTAGCTAGACATTTCTATTTGCACATAACATATAATTGGATTAGTTAAGTGTTAGTAAAAATAAGATTAAATTTCATTTCATAAATCATACTTTGGTTGGTGGCTGAATAAATTCAAGTAAAAGTTGTCAAACTTAAGATTGTAGCTCCTGGGGATCAAATATTAGGGTTTGTATTTACTTCTGCTTTGCCTAGCCAATCAAGTTCAGCCTATGTAAGCACACAGGAACACTAGATTATTAATCAATGACTAAGAGATGCATCATTCATGAACCTCCCTTGTTTAGTCCACCTAGTCCAGCCTCTCCCATTTTGCTGACACATCATTTGTATATTTTGCTCTAGCTTTCTTCCACACTCTGGCTGGAATAGAAGGAACAGCGTGACCAACAAGGTGTGGCAGGCATCACATCTGCTCCACAGCTATTAGTGCATCAAAAAGCAATCAGTTCCAGAAAGGGGGGCAGGAAGCAGTGCAGTAGAGATATTAACTTGGCTGGGAGAGGAAAAAGATGGAATGCCATCTCTTCCCAGGTTGCAGGACTAAAGCAGCCAAGTCCAATCCACTTTCAACTCAGGAAATTTCAACTCAGGAAAAGAGCTGCTGTGTTCTCTCAAGAGCTCTGCCACCAGGTCTCTTCCTTGCTCACCAGCTGCTCCTGGATGGTACAGCATTGATCCCTCCCCTTCCCAGTGCCACATGGGAAGTTGATGTAATGTTGCTGAACAAAATCCAAGTTGGCTAAGAAAATCTATGAATGGCAGAAGTAACCATAAATGGACCTGCTGCTCTTACTATTCAAGCCCACATATGAAGATTGCTCTGTGCTGAGGAAGCTTTGCACCATCTCATGAATCTGCTGATTCATTTGTGCATGGTTCATTACGATACAGGTAGTCCTCAATTTACAACAGTTCATTTAATGACTGTTGAAAGTTACAATGCCACTGAAAAAAGTGACATGACTGATTTTCACATTTCACTGTCATGTGATTAAAATGTGGATGCTTGGCCACAGGTTCATATTTATGATGGTTGTGTATGTAAAAAATTTTTTTTTCAATAAATGAACTTTTTAAGTTCTAATAATTTAAAATGACATTCATTTCTAAAATTTAGGTACAGAATTCTGTACTTCTAGCTTACATTTATAGTTGCTTTCACCAAGAACTCAGTACTTTTATTGTTTGTCTATTTTCTCTTTGTTAACATTTACAATAAAATATAACTCTAGACAGTATCTGGAAATCCTGGTCTCCTAAAAAAGCAATAAATAAGCTACAGTTAACAAGGTCCAGGACTGTGTGCCCCTGATCTTATCCTTGGTTCTGTAGTTAATTCTTATTATGGACATTCAAATAGTTTTCTCCATTCTCTAGGTATATAAACACTGGTTCCCTAAAATATTGGTTAAAGCACTGGAAGAACTTGGTCTTAACCCAACCTATTGTGGGAAGAAATATCCATCTGGTTCAGTTCCAAGCAGAGAGAAAGACACTGGAAACATGGAGGCTGACTGGAAAGAAGATTTAATGATGAACGGAATCACATATTTGTGGTTCTGGTGCAGCTGACCACATGGAGTTTGGGGGGAGTTATACCTTCTCTTGGACTTTGCACTTGAGCTTCCTGTTCCTGTGCAAGAACATGTATTGTATTTGCTGTCAGACTCCCCTGGGGCCATGTAGTGGTCATAGCTGGCTCTATAGGCAAAATACAAATCCTAGGTGTTTGCCTGAGCTAAGTTAGGTTGACGTTTGAACTCCTCTGAGGATGATGCAATAATTCCTAATGTGGTTTAATGGTTTTTCCTGTTTGGATCTTGAGTGAGGGCTAAATCTATCACTCTGCCTTTCTTCTGACTGCTGCAGGGAATATCTGATAAGAGCCAAGGTGGCGCAGTGGTTAAATGCAGCACTGCAGGCTACTGCTAGATCAGCAGGTCAGCGGTTCAAATCTCACCGGCTCAGGGTTGACTCAGCCTTCCATCCTTCCAAGGTGGGTAAAATGAGGACCCAGATTGTTGGGGGCAATATGCTGACTCTCTGTAAACCGCTTAGAGAGGCCTGAAAGGCCTATGAAGCGGTATATAAGTCTACTGCTATTGCTATTGCTATATCAAAATATCCTGTCTTGAATGGATTTTTGCCTGCAGTATTTGCTTTGCCTATGCATAGAGCTACCTAATACTTGGCTTCTTTGAATAAACTCTTTATCTCTTAAGTGCTAACATCTGCTGAGGGCTATAATGAAAGACTAGTCTGCTTCCTGCCTCTAAAAACATGTTTCTCCATTTCTTATTTAGGAAAATATAATATTCTGCCTTTTTTAAAAACATTCCTCAAACTATTTTATTCTTCTAGGAGAGGGATCGATGGTGACTTTCTGCAGTATCACACAGGGTGTCTGGGAAACAAAAGGAGAAGGAAGTGCTATGTATAACCGTCCTGAGCTTCTGAACAAGAGACAGGATACACATCAATCAAACAAACAATCCATAGGTGGAGATCAGCAATATGAAAAAACCAATATTTACAGGTAGATCTGGGCTCTCTTCTTTGGTCACATCAAGGAAAGAGAACCCTTTTCTACAAAGGTGTAGAAATTAATTGTGTAATTATGGCTTATTTTACAACTAAACATAAATTATATTTGTCTGCAAGTTCTCCATCAATACTTAAATCCTCTAAAATAATATCATTTTATAGTACCATATAAGTAAAAGCCATCTGGATGAGCATATGGCACAAGTGTAATTAAAAAAAAAATTATCATGCCCAAACATGCCAAAGGCTATATGACATGTATAAATCCACATACAAAGCAACAGGAAAATAGAAACAAATCTACAACTATAAGCAAATAAATATTGCTTATAATTCATAATACTGGGGTGGGGGGATAATAATACTTAGAATTAAAACCTATGTAATTTTAATTGAGAGAGAGAGAAAAAGAGAGAGGGGGCACCCACACTATCTGAATTATAACACTAATTCTTTTCTCAAACAAAAATTGAATAGAATTTGGAGATCTACCAGAGATTTCAAATTGCCTGTCAACTAAGAAACTGACATTTAACAGTTTAATTATGAAAAAAAAAAGTGTATAACCTTGATTAGCTATGCAATTATTCTTCAGGGGACAGTGATAAGGATTTGTAAATCGATAAAACTAAATAAAATTGTCTCTGAATTGCTCTTTCTCATACTTACTATCTGTTTATGATAAATACTGATTACCAAATGAGCAAAAGTTTGCATTAAATGCTTTACAAATGATTCATTTAAATTAAAGTTCAACTATTCATTTTCATTTTGACAAAAAAGTATAATTGGGAATGTGGAACAGTATTAGAAATTCTGCAAATAATTTATTCTCAAATATCC